TATTTCAATAAGATTTTTTTGTGTGTGTATATCCTGTCTGGGTTGAATGAATTCCATATCCATGTTTTTTTCTTATTTAAGTGCGAAATCTTCATTATCTGCTTAAAATCCAGAAGGAATTAGTGAAATAATTAGAATGGTATTTTATGTTTGAAATGTTATCCCCCTTAATAAATAAATCTTCGTTTTGTTTAACAGTTGCTTTGCTGTATATAATTCAAAACTCCAACTAGTGCCTTGCCTGGCACTTGAGACACATTATATTTACTATAATGTGGAAGAGATTAAGCAACGTTCTATCACATAGCTAGAAATATATGCCTGTATATCTGTGTAAACTGATCTTACTTGTACATAGGCATCAAGTGAGTTGCCGATGCCACACTCCATATTACAAAACAAGAAAACTCATCTTTATGACAGAGACCATGACAGAAATACCGTAACTTTCCTTTCTAGTTATGAAGTGCTGTCTTCACAAATACCACCAACAGTGGTGGGTGTATGTGTACAGGCAGATAATAGAAGATGCTAATTGTATCAGAAGAAACTGAGAAACCTGGTATTCATCTGAAGATCCCCCAGGCTGAACTAATAAAGCTTCCTCAAAGAGATAAATAAGCCTTGTCACTATATCATCATCATTTCCTCTAGCAAATTCTAATCTACACGAAATCCATGGCAATTTAGGACTTTATTTCATTCCCATTGAATTCCATGGGAATAGCATTCTGTTTAAACAAAATCAGTTTCCAAGTTGAACTACTGGGTTCTTTGCAGGAAATATGATATTCATCATGCTACCAAGCCCAGTATCTAGTCTTAGGCATTTAGTTCAACCCAATTCAACATCGGACCAAACAATTCTGAGGGAAATACATTCTCGCCTTCTCCCATACAATCCGCCCCAAACACTTAGGTCCTCTGAGGGGTGGCTACTCCAATCAGCCAGAACTCGACTGGCCACCATCACCCAGAGGACTTTTTCATCGGTCACCCCAAGACTGAGGAACGACCTGCCAGAAGAGTTGTGACAGCTAAATGAGCTGTTGGAATTTTTAAACCATCTAATGGCCCATCTCTTCTGGCAGGCCTACCCAGACAGTCTTTAAGCATGAATTTTAAATGTGTGTCCTTTGTTTAATTCCTATTTTGTGTATTTTAATGTGTATTTTATATAAATATGTTTTAATATGTAACTTTTATAGAAATACATTTCAATATGTGTATTTGTAGTGTTTTTGCAATGTTTATGTGTTTTAATTATTCTGTAACCTGCTTCAAGCCATGAAGAGAGGCGGGTAAGAAATAAAATAATAATAATAATATTATTATTATTATTATTGCTTGATTTCAACCCTGTACCATTGGTTAATACCAGAGTACAGACCATAAACCTGCCCGGAGTAGAGGAATGTAAGTGATGCAGTTTCTAAACAGTCTAGTCACAGTCCCAAGAAGGGAATGAAAGATCTGGGGGGGGGGGGGGGGGGGGGGAGAGGAGGAAGATCCTGATCACAGAGCCCCTGTTGGATATTGTTTTACTGTATTTAAAACAAGCAAACATCAAACTGCTCAGTCCCCTAACAGCTGAACGAATGCTTCATAATATTTAAATGCATGCACCACTGTTGATCTAATTCATGTTAAACATCTCTGAAAGGTATAATCTTTTGTCATCTACTATGTTCTAATAATAAAAGTCAATCAGCTTCCTTAAAGACACTTGAAGTCATTTTTTCCAGCGTTCAGACTGTCATTCATTCTTTCATACCCTTCATCTACATATAAGTGATTTGTTTTACCATTTAGAATCCATCTTTGAAAAGAAAAAGGAGCACCGAAGAAGCAGAAACGACAAAAGGTATTTCAACAAAGCTCCCTACAACCCTGATAGGATGTCTGTGCCACCCTCATTCTTAATGCTATAAGTAGTAACAGGAACGTGTGGGGAAGAGGAACATGTTTCCAAATTCACAAGGGGTATGGTATCTATTCACTAGGATGCCCTGGTCATGATATGGGAGTCGCACGCACACAAGGCTTCTAGCCCACCCTACATGCAATAGGTCCACATTCTCAGTTTCTGTTAACCTACAATACTCTGTTTCAGCTAATACAACAACCTTTTATTTCTGGCTTTTATTTTATGATAGTATCACTTCTGGAATGCAATTACTCTTATCCAATATATTATCAGTAATAATACTTATGCTGCAAAGGATGTTCTGAATTCAGATTCACTCCTCGTCTCCCTCTTCAGATGCAATTCTTAAGGTATCAGCTGTTTCTCTGTCAAGTAGTTTCTGATTCAGTGTGCTTGCATATATGTAAGTGTGCATAACTTACATTGATGATGGGCTACTTTTCTTTGCATATGAGGTAGTAGATGATTGAGAAAAATTAAATAAAGCATTGCTTTTAATTCTCACAAATTAGAGTGGGACAGGGGAAGCTGGATTTATACATTCAGGCTTGTTTGTGATCTCTTCTGGGTTTTTACTTAGAGAAATACTGCATTGTATTCCATGCGCTAAGTAAAATATGCTTGCTTCTCAGTTAATAAACTGTTGTCAGTTCTTTTCAAAAAGCACATTCTCTGATTACTTAAATGAATGGCAATCATGTGAAGGGAGCTGCTCCTCTCTGTTGGGAACGTTTGTTACTTTTTCTTAAAAAGTGGCTCAATTAGTTTACGTGTTTATGCTTGAGCGACACATACATCCAAAAAATAAGTATCAGGCAGTGTCTTGAGGTCCTGCCTCAACAATGCACCTCAATTGGAGAAGAGTGCTGGCCATTTAGAAAGGTAAAATGAAGGGCACAAAAGCAGCTTTCCTGTTTCAGTCTGTTCTGCTATTCCTAAGGAAGCTAAGCAACATTTGCTTTTACAATCTTCTTAAAAATAAACGAAAGTCACACTGTGTCATCTTTATAATTGAAGTGTTCCTTCGGAACAGTGCTTCTCAAACTCTGCTCCACCAGGTGTTTTGGACTTCAGCTCCCAGAAATCCCAGCCAGTTTACCAGCTGTTAGGAATTGTGGGAGCTGAAGTCCAAAACATCTGGATGAGCAGTTTGAGAAACCCTGTTTCAGAATGTCACCCAAAAGAAACATTTGAAACATCTGCTTGCAGCTGCAGGTACTGAGACAGGCTCTAGACAGGCTCCCTTAGTATCTAACTAAGCATCTTCCTAAATGGCACAATTAAATAAATATTTCTGCAGTTAACAGGGCACAGTGAAAGATTTCTTATCTTGCTTTTTCCCCTAGCATTTGAACAACCCAAACAAGAAGCAGCAAGGCATGCACACTGCAGGGGGAAAAGATGTAGCACTGCAAAAGCTGGACGTAACACATGTTTGTGCAAGCATACTGGGGATAAGAGGACTATAGAGTGAGAACGGCTAAACAGGCGGCAAAAGGGAAGCCCACAGGAAGAAGTAGATATTAAAACGAAGTTGCCACAAGACCCTTTGTTGTTTTGCTTCAACAGATAAACAAAAATATTTATCAGATAATCATAGCCAAAGTTTTATAAATTTGAGGGAAATAATCTGAGATTATGGAAATGGAACATATTAACTCTTTCATTCAATTTGACAGTTACAAAAGTGGTAACAGAAAGGTGCAAACTTCAGATAGAAAAAAAATATGGACCCTGTCTACTTATGTAAAGTATATGTCTCTAAGATGGATAGAGAAACAATGCAATGTCTCATTTTAAAGGAAACAGATACAACATCACAGAAAACTGCTTCTTGTTTCAAATAAATGATTATTACACTGCACAGTTGAAATGGGAATAAGGGAATACACACAGTGCTATATTTAAAAACATCCGCTTTGTTGACTATGGGCAGCTATTATTTTTACTTTACCCTGTTGGCATTATGTAATTCTCTGCTGTTTTTTCTTTTGTTAAGGATATTGTCAGTTCATCTAAAGAGTCCATAGGAGGATACAACATGCAAGACTGCACAAAACAGAAAGATTGAAAGGACTCCTTGAAGACAAGGGAGAGGTTACAAAGGTTAAACACCTGTTACTTTCTGGATATTATCAAGATAGTGGCAGTGAGAAGATTTAAAGCTCTTTAGATTCTGAAGAGATAACTTAAAGGTCTGGTTTTTAAAGCCTGTGACATCAGGCTTCCAATCTTGACAGAGCTGGCAATCTCAGCTGTGCTAATTAGGCTATAAAATAATTCTCAGTATTAATGGAGAACTGAGACACCTACATCATCCACTTAGAGGGTGCTTCTCCAACTACATTAAGATATAGATAGCTGAGTGGTGGATAATTCCTTCTGTCTTCTCCTCAGCATGACTATCTCGAGAAAAGCACTTTTTTGTATTATATTTTATTTGTTTCACTATAACTGTCTGTTTCATTAACCTCAGTTCAAATCTAAAGCACAATCATTTTCATAGATGGGAATGAAGACCTAATGCTCTGCCTTCATTAAGAAAGGGGTATTTCTAGTCTCAGAGTAAGCATATAAAAAAGGAGAAACTGTATGGTGTAGCAGTATGGAATAGCTCTCCATATAATGGTAAGATGCTTAAGAGAATATAAAGTCTTCGGACTATATTCAGTCTCTGTTCTTACAGGGTTGTAACAAAATATTTGGGAATCTCTATGGTGGACAGAAATTGGACAATTTGTTTTGTAAAGGAGGGAGTTGTGGGTATCTGTTCACCTTTTGCCTGGAGGAGTGGGGACAGAGATAGCAGCACTACAGCAGGTGGCTCAAGCATCCCAAAGAGGATTCCTTCATCCACCCTCTTCCAGCCGAAGAGAGCAAATTCTACCGGGGAACCTGAAATGCAGTCACCCTATTTAGAAGATGAGGAGGGGAGGGAAATGAGTTCCAAATTTCTTCAAAGTCACAGCATGGAAAGTTTTTGGTTGACTTATTTACTTTTGGGCTTCAACTTCACTAAACAAAATTCATTGCCAGGTTGTGGGAAAGAGAAGAAAGGGACAGGGCTCCATACCTGTGGATGTTCATCTCTGGTGGTGGTTGTCGGGCTTTGTCATAGGCAACCTTGGCAAAAATGCCCACAATTACGACAAAGGCAATGGCCCCACACGAAATGTAGACGGTAGCATTTGTGTTGTCCTCGTTTGGGTCATACCCATTGGGTATATCCCCTGGCCCATCATTACTGGTGGCAGGGGTCATGGGGTCAGTGCTGGGGCGCGGGCCCTGGTTACGGCACCTGTCCTGGTTGAGTTTCTCGGAGCGTTTGTTGCAGCAAAAGCGGTAGTAGCAGGTGCCACAGCAGTAGCGGAAATCCTTCTGGCTGTTGTTGCACTCAAACTCCTTGTCCCACTGCCCGCTTACGTCGTAGTAGCCCTGGCAGGTCTCATAGGCTGGGCTGCCACTAGAAGATGCCTTTGCCGGCCCTCCGACAGGGCTGCGCCCACGGCTCCCACCGCCAGCAAGGGCAGAAGAAGGTGCTGTGCCAACAATGGTCTGGTTCAGCTGCTCCTTGACTGGTTTGTGGGGTCGCCGGGGCGCGACTGCCCCCTGGGTCCGGTTGCCCCTGGGTGTCCGTGGGGGCCCCGCAGCCTGAGTGGTCAGCAGCAGTGCCAGGGCGTACAAGGCCAGTGGCAGGAGCAACAGGAGCTGCCTCCACCCCATGGTAAGCCAAAGGAGGAGTGGGTAGCAAGACAGCGAGGAGGTAGCCGTACCCCTGGGACTCCAGTTAAGGACCTTGGCTCTGCCACTCCATGGATGATGAGAGTAGGCGAGATTTGGGCTTCAGTGGCAGCAAGGGGAGGGCATCAGCAGCAGCTGGGAGAGCCACCCCGGTGCCACCTGCTCCTTCTCCGGAGGTGCCTCTTCATCCTGGCCAGAAGCAAGAGGGGCCACTTGGCTGCCTCTGGAGAAAGGCACTGTCCTCTTGGTCACTGCTCCTCCCGGGACAGGCTGTAAGGAGAGAAGGAGGGAGGCATCTCAGCGTCTACCTGGCCGCGGGGGGGGGGGGGGGGAGAGAAAGATGGGGGGGGGGGAATTAAGGGGGACGCGGAAAGAAACGAGGAGCCCTGGAAGGAGCAAGGAGAACGAGGGAAGACAGGGAGAGGAAAAGAGGGGTGGGGGCAGCAACAGCTCCGGCTGCTCGGATGCCGGCGGGGGCAGGGGATTCCCTTGGCGAAGGAGCCGCACAGCAGCAGCAGCAGCAGAGCCGGGCGCCCGGACTGCAGCCCTGCAACCCCGGCCCCGTTCTTGCCCGGCCGGTCGCCCACTGCCCTCGCGCCAGCCCCGCGCGCGCACGCCTCCTTCCTTCCTTCTTCCCTTCCTTCCCTCTTTCCCTCCCTCCCTCCTTGCCTTTGCCTTGCTTGCACTCACCAGGTCGGGGCGGAGCGGGGGCACTGCGGAGAGGCCGGCGGGCTGAGCATCCTCTCTTCCCTCGCGCCGCCGCCGCCGCCACGCGCTGAGAGGAGGCGCTGCTGTGGAGCGGGAGGGACAGCCGGCAGAGCAGAGCCGCCGCCGCCGCCGCCGCCTCCCCTTCTGCTTGCCTGCCTGCCTGCCTGCCTGCCTCCCTCTCTAGGCCCGCCCAGTCCCGGCCCCCTGCGAAGGAGTCAGCGGCCCGCTGGCCGGAGAGAAGGGCGCCCTCAGAGGGAGGGGAAGAGCTGCCCCTGCCCCTCTTCCTCCGCTTCCCCTCGCCCCGCCGGGCGAAACGAAGGAAAGAGGCCGCCGCTGCCCTGGCCTCAGTCTCCCCGCACACTCCTGCCCTCGGGGGGCTCCTTGGCCTTCTTCGCCGCGTGGGGCTGCCTGGAGGGGCTCGCCGGGGGGAAAGAACTGCCCGGGATGCCTGGCGCAGACAGGAGGTGGCGCCCCCCTCCCTCCCGTCCTTTTCCTCTCTCCCCACTGGCACGCGGCGTCGAGGCAGAGGCGCGCTTTCCCGCTCACTCTGAGGCGCGTGGCCTAGGCTCCTCCCCCTTCAAGGCGGGGGGGGGGGAGGGAGAGGGTGGCAAAAAAAAAAAAAAAGAGAGCGATTGTTGTTCCACTCTGGTTTAACAAAAAACAAAACCCAGAGCTGAGTACATTTGCTGACTGTCCCCCAGTTCAGTCCAATAGGCATCTGTGCCTGTGCAAGGCTTTGTAAGGAATGGCTAAATATCTTCCTTCTCATTGTCCCAAGCCCACTTAGTAAACGTAAAGATATCCCCGGCCCTGACATTAAGTCTAACCAAGTCCGACTCTGGGAGGGGTGTGTGCTCATCTCCATTTCTAAGCCAAAGAGCCGGAGTTGTCAGTAGACGCCTCCAAGGTCATGTGGCCGGCATGACTGCATGGAGCACTGTTACCTTCCCAACAGGGTGATTCCTATTGATCTATTCACACTTGCAAGTTTTCAAACTGCTAGGTTAGCAGACGCTGGGGCTAACAACGGGAGCTCACCCCGCCCCAAGGATTCAAACCTCCAGGCTTCTGCAGCAAGTTCAGCAGCTCAGCAGTTTAACCCGCTGCACCACCGTGGCCCCTCTTGCATACACTCAATTCACTCAATTCATTTTTCGTGGGTGCAACGTACACCCCCATTTGAGGGGCACATCAAAAGGGAAATGAATTTCAGTTGAGAGAAATATATAGGACTAAACTTGGGTAGAAAAAATGAAATGTGCAGATATAAGACGGGTGATACCTGGCTTTAAAAAAAGTCCATACAAAAGGAATCTAGGCATGGTAGTGGACCACAACATGAAGATGAGTCAACAGTGTGATGGGGCAGATAAAAAAGACCAATGTGATCCTAAGCTGCATGAAAAGGTACCAAGATGGAGGGAAGTCATAGCCCCACTCTATTCTGCTTTGGTCAGACCTCACTTGGAATAACACTGTGTCCAGTTCTGGGCCCCACAATTCAAGAAGGATCTTGACAAGTAGAACATGTTCCAAAAAGGACAATGAAATGATAAAAGGTTTGGAAGCCAAGCCCTATGAGCAATGGCTGAGGGAGCTGGGCATGTTTAGCTTGGAGAAACAAACGCGGAGAGGGGGCATGGTCACTGCGTTTAAATATTTGAGAGGATGTCACATTGAAGAGGGGACAAGCTTGTTTTCTGCTGCTCTGAAAACGGCCGTGGGGCAATGGATTCAAACTGCAAGAAAAAAGATTCCACTTAAACATTAGGAAGAACTTCCTCATGGTAAGATCTGTTTGGCAGTGAGATATGTTGCTGCAGAAGAGAGTCTACTTCTCTGGAGGTTTTTAAGCAGAGGTTGGATAGCCATCTGTTGGTGTTGCTTTATGTGTTCTTGCATGACAGGCTGGATGGCCCTTGTGGTCTCTTCCAACTCGACAATTCTACGAATGGCACAAGAAAGAAAGTTTTGGAAGGCATGTATTTAGTCTGCAGACAGAAGCTCTTATGTCCAAATGCTTTCCTTGTTTAGAAGAAGAATCCCTTCAGGTAAGTGAAGGCATCCCTGGGAAAGTTTTAGCACAGTCGTCTCTCAGATTTTTTCCCCCAGCTCAGTACAGGAAGCTTTGTGCAGACAGGAGCATTCAGAACAGAATAGTATTCCCCAACCAACACTACCAGAGGGATGGAGAAACTTTGGGCCCCCTCTTTCAACTTTAATATTCTATGATTTGGACATCAGTGTCCAGGAGTCAGCATAACCAATGGGAGGTGGTTTGCGGAGCTGCAGGTCAAAACAACTGCAGGGCAAAAGCTTCTGATCTTACAACATACTCTGCCTAACTGTCAAAGGTAGAATAAGCTGACGGAAAAAAATGCCTCAAGAGGTGAATTCTGAGCTTGCATCCTGACATTCTTTCAAAGTTTAAAAAAAGGTACAAAGGAATTCTGAAGCACCTTTGAGGCTAAGGGAAAGAAGTTTATAGCATACAGTTTTGTAGTCTCAATCTCTTCCTCAGATGCCATTCTTTCAAAAGCCTGCCTGCTTCTAGTAAATTTCTTGTGTAATGCAGAATTCAAAGTGAGTCAAGGCTTTGCCTCCCATGTCACAACCTGTTGTAGGAATTGGCAGAGAAGTTAAAGGAATTCCAGTCAATGAGTGCACTTTCTCGAGTGGGGTTGCTACATCTCTTTTACCTTCCTGAACCAAGATGTCTGGGCTGAAAGCCAGGAGAAATGGGTGACTGGTGAATCTGCCTTGAAACAACAGTTCCTCGATTCTGACCCTTCAGCATTTATTCTTTTAGGCTGAATTTGCTGGAAATTTTTCATGGTTACAGCATGTGTCCAAAGTGTGTTGACCTCTAAGTGGCCACTCACAATCATGTTCCTTCAACTGGTGAGAAAAATTGAAAACAAGGCTTATGGAGAAGGGCAGAAAGAATGGCATTTTTTTAGACTGGGGAGAAACAACCTAGGTAGCCATGTTTTTGTATACATAGAACAGATGTGGACCATGAGTTCCATAAGCCACAATTTGTGGGTTTCATTTTCAAGAAGGAAGGCATTGTTTGAATGTCAGGAGAAGTATTCCCATAGTGAGCAGTTCAACAATCAAATGAAAATATGACCCATAGGTCACTGTGGTCCCATGGTTGTTCTCCAATCTGAGGTCCTCCAAGGAATCTGCAGATCTCCCCACTAAAAAGAGAAAAAAGGCAAAGCATGCAATTTCCCACTCTTGGATATTTTCACTAGGGGAGAGCACGGATGAGCTCCCTCTGTCAGCTCCCTCTGACAGAGGGAGCTGACAGGAGGGAAGCCACCCACAAGGATGATAAAACATCAAAATATCTGGGCATCCCCTGGGTAACATCCTTGCAAACAGCCAATGCTCTTGTATCAGAATCAACTTGCAATTTTTTAAAAGTTACTCCTGACACATACACACAAAAAAGCAAACAAAGTAGCAACCATTCTCCAAATTTGCAGCCTCATCACATTGAGGAGCAGCCCTACAATTCTGAAGCAAGCAGAATTCTGGGAAATGTAATTTAGGATGTAGCCTTTTGAATTCTTTGCCACGGGGCTCACCAAAATACATTTCACAGTATTCTGTTCATGCAAGAAGAACAGGGCTGTCTGCATTAAAGCCTTAATTTGATGAGGCTGTTGATACAACCTGCCCATGAACTTGCATTTCTATTGCTATTTTTAGACATTGGATGGTGGTCCAGAGTGGGCCCTGAAGGTAGAAAAATGCCCTCCTTGGGTCTCCAAAGTTGCCTTTTCCTGACATCAACAGATGGTTTTAGAAGAACACATTGTTGAGAGAATTTATTTTATGTGTTTGCTAGCAAATGAAGTTATCTAGCTCTGAACTGAATGCACTGGACTTTGCAAGGATAATGAAGGACAGCTTGGAACATTAAGTTCAAATTCTGAAGTACAACAAAGGGATGCTACTCTAAAATGACTGCTGCCATCCTGTGGGTCTTCAAAAATTGCTAATACTGATGCCTCAATTCTTCTACTAGTTTATCCTATCTTTAAGTGAGCTTACCAGAAAAGTGCTCTGTCCATCCCAGCATATGTCAGGGTAAGAACCACATTTTGTTAAGATAACACCTCTATAGTTGCACTTATTGTTCCATGCCATTGATGGTGACAGAGGATGAAACAGTTTTTCTGGGCATATTTGTTTGTTTGTTTAATATGCTTCTCTAAGAAGCCAAACCAAGGTGACATAAGGGCAATTAAAAAAAACAATTAGAAAATAAAAACATTGGAAAAATAAGGAGTAAAAAGTTTTTAGCAAAATTAAAGAAATTTGAGAAGCCTAGGAAATAAAATGTGTGTCCTGACCCCAGGGAGAGGGGAACTTTAAACTCTGGGGGGTGATACAGGAGAAAGGTTTTCCCTGCATGATCGATATGAGAGCATCCTCAAGTGAGGGATCATCAAAGGGCTCTTTCTTGCTGTTCATAATAATCAGGTTCATCTTTGTTCATGTTTCCAGTTCAGTAATTTGTATATAGAGGTTTCTTCTTTTTGTCAACTCCCTCGTCTCCATACACATACACAAACAGAAATGATTCATCTGCACAACTGCATTAACAAGAACCATCCAGATCCTGCACATCGTGGAGCAAATATTTATATTTTACAGAGCATTACAACTGCAGTAAATCCCACATTCAAAACTGCAGCGGTGTGTCATTGGTGTAGACCAGGGGTCTTCAAACTAAGGCCCGAGGGCCATATGCGGCCCTTGAAGGTCATTTAGCCAGCCCTCACTCAGGGACAACCTAAGTCTGAAACGACTTGAAAGCATACAACAACAACAACAACAATCCTATCAAATCAGAGAAAAGCAGGACCACACTTCCCATTGAAATACTAATAAGTTTATATTTGTTAAAATTGTTCTTCATTTCAATTATTGTATTGTTTTAAAGTGTTTTTGCACTACAAATAAGATATCTGCAGTGTGCATAGGAATTCATTCATTTTTTTTTTCAAATTATAATCCGGCCCTCCAACAATTTGTGGGGCTGTGACCTGGCCTTCTGTTTAAAAAGTTCGAGGACCCCTGGTGTAGACACTTAGACACCACAACCTTGACCCCATTTACATTGACCATATAATGCAGTTTGAAGTTAGCTTTGAACTGTTGTGGCTGGACCATGAATTCTCACAAAAGCACAGGAAGGAAACCCTTTAATGTACACCATCTGGGCCAGAAACTGGTTCCAGGATTTCCTATGTAATCATCTCCACAGCAAAATCACCTTCTTCAATACCAGTTGAAACTACATTAAACAGCCAGGGTAGATGGGACCAATTTGACTTCACTTGCTCCCCCCACCCCCGGCCGCCCATGCATCAAAATGAATTCTGAGCTTTCTTTAATATAAAAAGACTTGTGCTGTTTCTCTTTTTTCTGTTTTCTGCCTGTGTTTATTGTGTACGTGTTTATTGAAGGTAAAGGACAGGTCTGGGTGTTTATGTTTTTCTGAATTGAACAGAGGT